TGTCTATCCATGCTAAACATGCTTGGGGGATACACCACAAAGGCGAAAGCTAAGTGCCTGATTTTTGCACAAAACAAAAAACAAAAAACAAATATGATATATAGCAACAACTGACAACCACTGGATAACAGGCCCCTGACTTTGGACAGCCACTTACAAAATGTGGCATGGTTTAACATGTTTGCTGGTGCCAAATCCTCCTCTAATTAAGGACAGTGGTGTAAGTGTCAGTTCATTTAAATATAAAATCAGTTGAAAAGGGCTATTTTCTGCTCTTTGGTCAGGTTATTTTGATACATTCCCGTTTTCATTCTCAATTTTATTAACTCATTAGAATGCAACAAAGCAGAAAAACAGCTACCAAAAACACAGACCGGATGTGGCTGGAAATTTATTCTTTCCCTTTAACAAAAAAGACTCAACATACAGATCTATTAGTACTCACAGTTACTGACAGCTAATTCAAAGCAAATATCAACTAATAAAATAAACATTTTGTGAGCACCCAACCCACCCCTAACCTGGGACAGTGGTTTTAATAACAGCATATCATTTGAACAAACTGTAAACATTTGTTGCAATTGGCTTAACTCAAAAGACTGCAACAAGGCACAAAAAACAACTTATATGAAAACCATAGACACAAAGCACTGAAATAAGAGTTCTTACAATTTTAAATATTCAAATGAAAGTTTTATAAAAATGTACATAAACATGATAAAATAGCCATTTTATTGCTGTATTTCTCTTCATTTATAATTTTTGAGTTTTGTGTATTTGTAGGTCAGACATCTTGGTTTTCATGATCATCAGACATTCAACAAGTCAATACTGAACAGAAAACTTAAAGTTGATATTTTTCTACATAGTGTGACTTTTTTATTAATTTGAAATGGAATGTGTTTTTTTCCTACATAAGAAAGAGGAAATTTCATCATAATGACTATAAACAAAAAGGTGTCATATCATCATGATCATAGATGCACAAGAACTTAATGATGTAAATGCAACGTCGTAATTATCAATTGAAAGAAGGGAGGAATGAAAAAATATATTAGTATTTTGTTGTCAAATGAACCTGCTTTGTCCACTCATTTAAATCGCTCCATCCAATAAAGATGTACAGAGGAAGATTTTTGAAGAACAGATTGCAAAAGAGGTTTTGTCTTAGAATTGTAGGAATATTCTAGTGGATGAAATAATTTATTTACTTGACTCTTATATAGTGGACTGAATAATTGTACATAGCAAGCTGAAACAAGAAAAACTAAAACTTAACAGGAAAAGTGTTTATTTTATAAATTTGCAAATATAAACGTAATATTATGAACACCACAAAGGTATAAGATTCAAATCGTTTGCATATTCATGTATTGCAATGGAACTATAACAAAGAAAACTTTAACTCATGAAAAGAGTAAACTATTAACTGTGCTTTGTCAATTTATTCAGTCAGAATATGAAATATTTTTTTCAGTTCTATTTTTCATAATAAAACAAACAAGGCAAAGATTTCAAATCAATATTTTTTTCTATATTAAGACATGTCATCATTTTATTTCAGTTAAAGTATTTTATTTTTTTTTGACTTTAAAAAGTATTTTACTTTCCAAAATAATAATAATCTTTATTGTCATATAAACAAATTAAAAACATGTTTGTGACAAAATGAAAAAAACCAAAATACACTCATATATATATTATAAACTTTTTACTACCAAACAGAATTCATTGTAACATACACATTACTGTATATTTATAATTTGAATTCCATAGGATTTTATTTTGTCCCATGGGATATTAAAAATCCAATGGGATAATTATAGTCCCATGGGATTTTTTTTGTCCCATGGGACAACAAATATCCCATGGGACTACAATTATCCCATGGGACCCAAAAAAATCCTATGGGATTTAACCAAAATCCCATGGGATAATGGTCAATCCCATGGGATTTGCCCTATCCCATGGGATATTGAAAATCCCATGTTTTTCTAAATCAAATTACAAAATATATATAGTAATAACAGCAGAAAAGCAATGAAATTATTAAATCCCATGTAATTCCGCACATTTTGGTTTTATACACAACATTGTAGGTCTAAGGAGAGGCGGCGGCGGATTTGCAAATGTGTGTTTTGCAAATTAAAAGTGTCCAGTGTTCATGACATAAAATTTGTAAATAATGTCTTTTTTCTGTGTATCAGTTTGATACTCATGATACTGTGTACGTTCTTCCTGTCTTTTATAAACAGAAAGTTATTTATTGAACCAAGCAATGCCTTCAGCATGCCTTAACTGAAAGCACAATTATGAACTTTAACTATTTCCAGTTTAGCATGTTTAGATCAGTGTGTGCCTGAATATATTTTGCGGGTGCACGTGACAATAAATAATTATATAATTTTTACTCAATACTTCTGTATGAAATCAGGTCCCTGACCAAATAATTAGTGATTTTTCGTACGAGTGAATGGTAAACATAAAATTTGACAGAAACAAGTGCCTGACTGTGGAATACGGGTCCATTCGCTCAAAAACGTGTTCGCGCCCATTCACGTTCGCCCCCTTTCACGTTCGCACCCTACACGTTCGCACCCTTTTTATTGGTTTTGTGTTTAATACTTTTGTAGTTGAGTTTTGGTAAGTGCATTGCTTTAAATATTTTTTTTACATCGTTTCAAAATAAAGTGTGATTTTGACAACGTCTTTTTTGTGTTGAATAAATCTTAATCATGTTTTGGTTATAGTTTATAATTGCTATAAAAAAAATCATTCTCACAACGTTTTTTTTTGTGCTGAATAAATCTTAAAATATGTTTTGGTAAGTGTTATACTATTGCTATAAATATTTTTGTTTATTTCAGAATAAAGTGAGATCAAAGGGGCCAAGCTGTTTAAAACAATTATCTTTCGTGTTTTTCATTTAAAATCTTCCTGAATGTTTTACTCATACCAAGCTAAATACATGCAGTATTTACACCGAAGCAAGTTAAAACAACAATTATGATTTTCAAACACACAACAATAATACCAAATTTAGCAAATAAATACCAATTAGCAGTAATCATACATAATAAACATTTAATAATTAATCTTGATATCAAATTGATAAAAAAAAAACATTTCATAAAATAATTCCCCAATTTTTATTCAGGAAAATATATTTTTTTTGGTATATATGTTACAGTGAATTTGTATAATCAGGGATTATGTAGAATCCCTGATTTTTCAGGGATTATGTAGAATCACCAAAATCATTAGTGATTATATATAATCCCTGAAAATGACCAGTGATTTTACATAATCACTGAACATTTATATAATTATTCTACAAATTCCCTAGTATGATTTCAGGGATTATCAATAATTCAAAGATCCTGTGTTTGATAAAAATTAAATAAAGATAACTTGTCGTTTGTGTTTTCTTATTCCTTGAAAGTTTAAGTGAACAGTAAGTATTTAAATTGTTTAAAGCCTCCTACCATCTCTTATATTTCATATAGATTACACTCTTTACATCCTTATACATTAACATAAGATTAGGGCTGGTGGGCATGGATCTAAAAAAATAACAAAACTTAAATATCTGACGATCATATGCAATCTATTTAATTTCAAGTTCATCATGGTTTACCAAGATCATTTATATGACAAAAAATGTTCAAACTGTAAATCCACAGTGCATTTTATTTGTAGTAAAACAAATGGCGAGGAAGGTTATGAAACCTCTGTGTGTATTTTGTGTTCAAATGAACAAGAAATTCAAACTGAGAGAACTGACGCAACTGAATGTATAGAAAAATTCGTAAGGGTTCCGCGGAACCCAGTGTCTCGCCTACTTTTGCTGTTGTCTATGTTTTCAGTGTTATAGGAAAATGCACATGATAGATTAATTTAACAGTTACTGAAATGGTTTATGTATCTAAAAAATGTTTTAAAAGCTTTAACTGCAGACTGAATGTAATGTTAGCTGGAAAAAAAACTAAGTCCATTTATAAGTAATGTACGGATAAACAGGAAATAATTTGTTTTTAAATTTCTTTCTAGATACTAGCTTTTGATCATAAACAAGTTTCTGTCCAAGTTTGGTACAAATCCAGGATAGTTTAAGAAAGTTATTATTTTTTTTTTAGACTTTAACTACAGAGTGAATGTAATGTTTGTTTTTTAAAATATTGTGCTTAATATTTTAATATTATATGCTTAATAATTTAGTATATTGTTCCTAACATTTTGATATGTTGTGCATAACATTCTAATGTATTTAAGGTTATCATTTTAACATATTGTGCTTTACATTTTACAATCTATATGTTTATAATGATGTTTTAATATGATTTTAAAGAATGAATTATTTAACTTTTATCCATTTTCTATATAAATGAAACTAATTCTTCATTTCAGTTATTCTGTATAATCCCTGACATTTTTTCTAGTGATTATACATAATCCCTGAAAATTTTAGTGATTATATATAATCCCTAAACTAACCAGTGATTCTACATAATCCCTGAACATTTTAGGGATTCTACATAATCACTGATTATACAAATTCACTGTAACATATACATATAAAAAAATATCTAATATTCAACTGGAAATTGAATACAAATTGAGTGCGAACGTGTAGGGAGTGAATGGACCTAGATGGCAAACGTGTGAGGTGCGAACATGTAGGGTGCGAAAGTGTATTGGGCGCGAACGGACCTGTTTCCCTGACTGGGATATTCATACTGATAAAACACAGTGGCGGATTTACCGGGGGCACAGGGGGCACGTGCCCCCTCCCCCCCCAGTCGGGGGTCACAAAAAAATTTTCTAACATAGTTTTATTGCTACTGTATCTGTTTATGTAGATATCTAGATCTAAAATCAAGACACAGCTTGATTTGACTTCCTAAAGTGGTCGTCAATTAACCCCAGCTTCAACATGCGTGATTTATGACAACTTATCGATGGGTGTGTAAATATTGACACCTTTGTGTAATGTCTACCCAGCAAACACACGACGTACTCCCGACGTCGGTTAATGGTCGTCTGAACGTCATGTCTTGAGTTTACGTCGTACCAACGTTGTGGGAACGTAAAAACCCAACGTTGGATGCAGACGTACAGACAACGTTATAAAATTACGTCGAATTTACGTAAATTTAGTACCCTGTCAGGACGTAACATTTTATTACGTTGTGACAACGTGCTTATAACTGTCTTAATCCGACGTAATATTTTGTTACGTCGTATCAACATTATAATAACGTAGTGAACAAACCTTGTTAATACCAGTGACACATTTAAATCTGGTTTTATGGGACGAATTTTGTGGGTATGAGTCTTCCTGGGTATATCATTCACCTTCACTAGAATATATTCACGATTTTTTCGATTTTCAAAATATCCCCCTTTTTTCCCGCACAGACATAATTTGCACCAAAATGTCCAAGAAAATATTACAAATCCAATTTTAATGTTCTAATATATATATTTTATATGAATATTTATTGTTTAATATATCATTAAAGTTTTGTCATCATTTATTATTCTAATTCCATAATCGATTTTTTACGATTGGTTATAATAGTGGAACGTTCAGCAGTACTCGGGTTTTACCGCTGCATATTATGAAAAGTCTGAGCATGCGCACTTTCACCGCTTGATTTTTAAAAACAGTGATAAAACTTGCAGTGAAATTTAGCTCGATCCAGATTCTAGAACAAAGAAAAAGGTAATATAATAATTGCACATTACGCAAAATAGGTTCTCCATGATAAAAACAAGTACGATTGAAGAAAATAAAACATCTGTTGCCGTGTTGGGCGCCTCTTTCAAGTCTGTTGTCCGTGACCGTGTTGAAATATGATACTCCTTATACTGTCAATATATTGCACTGATACAAGACATTTTAGCCAAAATTTGTGTTATTTGAATCCATTTTTCAAATTGCTCGAATAACTTGTGTTTTTTTTAAGATATATGCAATTAACTGTAGAAAGTTAAAAAAAAAAAAGGGGGTGGGTGCACAGGCACTTGTTTCCTATCCTGATTATCCATGACAAGAGCTAATATCCCTATATATTAAAGCTGCAAGTGTCTTTTGCACTGTTATCTTTTTGATAATGTTGGAAGCATAAAAGTCTGATCAATATCACAAATGGGAAGCTAGACATCTGGGCACATTACAAACTCGGCCCATTACAAACTCGGCCCATTACAAACTTGGCATATTACAAACTCGGCCCATTACAAACTTGGCATATTACAAACTCGGCCTATTAATGATAATACTACATGTATCACTGGGGGTCATCCTGAACATGGATGAAATATTTGCCACTGGACGTTAAGCAACTAACAATCAATGTGTCACTGGGTCTGACATGGGAATAGACAATTGTGCCAATAAAGACTGTTGTAGATAGGCGTCACAGAAAAAAATTAAAATAGCCTTCCAAGACGTCATAATTATTTGGGACTAGGTCGTCGTAGGAAGGCGTCACAGAAAAAAAATTAAAATAGCCTTCCAAGACGTCATAATTATTTAGACTATGATCCAGTCGGGGAAAAGTTGGGTAAAATTTTCCTGTTTTCAGGGTAAAACCCAGTTTACTGGTGTTAAAAAAACTAGTATATAGGGACGTCTTTTTTGTTGTTCAATTTATGGTATAAAATCTTCATGTTTATCAATGACGAGCTATATTCAACTCTCAATAAATGTGTGATCAGAAACAATGTCATAATCAATCATAAAACTTATGAATTTTGGAATGCATGTTAATTTGTCACTTACCTAGTTCTCCCAAAGATTTGTTTGACTGACATGCATGTAAACAGACGGAAGAATATAGAAGATAATTGAATGTATTTATAATTTTTTTTCCAGACTCTTGTATAAAAATCCACAGATCCAATGTGTCTGAGGTTGAGGAATGCATTGCAGTAACACTTAAGCTTGCACCAGCTAGCTCAAAAAGATGGACCAAGTTATAAAAAGGTAAACATCAGTTGATCAGCTCTTTTTATGCCCTCCTTCACTGAGTGATATAGTTTTACTCTTGTACTGTATGTACATTATTTGAACTCAAATTGGTTTCTGTTCTCTAACTTTAGTTTGCCTCAACGACATGTTATGAAATTTATACACAATGCTTATTATCATAAAATGCAGAGTTTGAATTTAGAGAGCATCTGTTTTACTGTTCTTTAGTTATGTCCTTTAATAACATCATTTGTGGCTCATGGACACATTCTTCTTTTATTAATTTTATTTATCAAATTATAATTTGTTGATTTTATAGATTGCGTTCATTGGCATATAATATAAGGTCTTGCTGTATTGATGTAAGTTCTAAATTTATTAGTTTAAACATATTTTATTGTACAAAACAAATGGATTAGACACAACAAGTTTTTCAACTTTAATAGTTCCGTCTTCTCCATTTAAATTCATTAAGGTAAAATCCTATGAATATCTTAAATTAATTGAAAATGACAATTTTGAGAAACCAAACTTCCTTTTTTAATTTGGATTCATTATTGTTTGTAGAATAGCTAGTGGTTGTTCCAGAAAAAACTAAGTTCCCCCTTCCCCCCCCCCCCCAAGGGAAGGCTCTTTTTTTAATTTTATGTGGGGATGGTTGTATTTATGCAGACATAGTATTTTCTGGAACAGCCATAATTTCATTAACACATGTTCAATTTAACAACAAATTTATTTTTTAAATAAGAACAAAGGTTAACTAAAAGTTATGAATTATTATATACTGTTGAAATTATGTTAAAATTTCTAACATACATTATCAAAATATGTATAATTGGCAAAGATACAAACATCTCAGTAACAGCACAACATAATTTTGAATTTGCAAGATTTATTATACGACCAGCAATAGAAAAAATATTGATTATGTTTACACACAGGATATTTTTTAAGAACTGCTGTAATTAATAAGTTGGGATCAACTTTTTTTTTTGTATTTTCTAATTTATGATTATTTTTTTTTCAGAGACCTGAAACCAACACAAGACCAGCTGATCAGAGGGCAGAAAACCAAAATTTGGAATGACATGTATACAACCAACAAAAGACTAAAATTTGGAATAAAAATAAAAAAAATTCAGAAACATATTATTTTTTTATTGGTTCATGTAGCTAAGAAAAAAGAAGTCTTAACTTTTGGATAGGTCTATCCCTAGTTGGTCAATGGAAAAAAAGCAATAGTTAGTTTGATTGAATTTCGGGTATTTTCTTCATTTGGGATATTTTTAGAAGTGTGTTTAAGTTGTGTAGAATATATATTTGTAAATTAGACAGTCAGCTTTTGGGTCTTTTTCCAAACTCATTTCCTAGCTTGTCATTGTGTAGTGAATCCAGCTGAATGAATCGATCTACAGTAAATATTAAGGTATATGTGGTAGTTTGTTGTATTTCTAAATAATTCATTAAAAAATGTTTTCCTTCGTCAAAGTGAAATCTACATTCTAGAATCTCCACCATCATAGTGAAATCTATATTGTAGAACACTGAAACCCTAAACATTCAGAAGTTGCAGCATGTACCAAGATGTCATGTTGAAGTTACCTATAATTGCTAACATCATCAATATTTGATTTTAGGATAGAGGGTTGTCTCATTGGCCATCATACAAAACCTCCTTTTTCGAATAGTATTATGTGTTAAATTTTTTAAAGAAAAGTTGCTTTTGTTAAATAGAAATGTGTAAATCTTGTACTTTGGTATTGCAAAAGTTAAAAACTAAGCCTTTAACCTTTAACAACTGTGTGAAACATGAATTGGACAAAACTACAGGTTTAATGTAAAACATGATGCAAAGCTTTTGGGAAAACGAGATATTTATACATTTGACATTGAAACCTGGCAAAAAGGTAAAAAAAAACCTTTTGCGACCATATTATACACAGCTTGCAGTTTGGATATAGAGTACATATCGGCATTGTGTACATCTTTCCTACATAGACAAATTTACAACTTAAAACAGGTCAAAAGAATAAAATATAGACCCTGTTTACTTCTTCAATGGAATTATATTCTCCTATCAATCAAATGAGGACAAGGGACATTTACAGTTGTGTTGTGACGTTGTTACAACGTCTTATGATGGTAATAAATTACGTCACAAATTACGTTGTGCCAACGTTGTGTGGATGGTTGTCAGCACGTGCCTTGGAGTCCACAAAATTACGTTGTACCAACGTAATTTTACTACGTTGTCACAACGATAGTATTACGTTGTCACAACGTAATGTCAACGTTGGATTGTTTACTGGGTATATCCAAAAGCATTTATGTAAACTACATGTACATCTACATGCTGATTGGAATTAATACGAATATATTTATTGATTTCTAATACAATATTACAGGATCAAGATCGATTAACAAGAGAAATCTTCTGATCAGGAAAGAAATTACCAACTAAAATCGGTCTGAAAAGAATATGTAAAAATAGATGTTTAGTGTCAGGAATGTTAGTATGTATATGAGATATGTCTTTATTACCAAACACTCACATTGTATACGGTTTCTGGGGAATGTGTCTTTCTCAGAACAGTCTTTTTCAGACTTTATTAAACAACAAACGATTTTTTTTCAATGCATACAGCATTTTTTTAAACTGAATGTCGTGTTTTTCCCCTTATTTTTTTATGGAAACCAATGATTTGTCTTTAAAAAAAAACTTCCCGCTCCACAAAACATGAATGGTCTGTGCCTTATATATATATATATCATTAATAAAATGATATTGTATTTTTGGAAAACCTATACTCATATTTGAGATAAAGATCAGCAATAAAAGCGCTGTTCCTTTGCTTATTGTGTGTTTTTTTGCCGTGCATGTACTGATTTTGTGTCGTGGATGGATACCCCATATCCTTTCTTTTTCTATTATAGTACAGTAATATGTGTATACACATTTTTTCTTGTTTTAATTACCATGTACGAGGGTATGAATAGGTTACCATCAATGAGAGTATGAATGGTTTACCGTGAATGAGGGTATGAATGGGGTTTACAGATTAGAGAACAATGGTCAAAAAATAAAGACTAGAAAAAAATGTGCCCAAAAAATATAGAAAACAGATTAACGTGTGATGAACTATAAAGAATAGAGGACAAATGGCAGCAAATAAAAGAGAGTAGAAAGAAATGGATCCAAAAATAATGAAAAGATATAGAAATGAAGATCTGACCCCCCATCATCCCCAATACATGACACCACCACCACCCACACTCGCATATAAACATATCTAAACAGACTTCGAGGTTCTGGATCCGCCCCAAACTCCGTACAGTGATCGTTTTCGTTCCGGAACTATTTTCCTTTACTCCATCAATCACTGCCACCGGCTTTCGAAATTCGTTCCAAAATTTGGAACGAATATCTACGCAAATATATTTTCTCAGAACCATTAGTTACCGGCTTGAAAAACGTCAGTTTTATAATGTCTTTCTAAAATTTAAACAACTTTTCCTAGATATAAAAAAATGAGCATTACATTTACGCACAACGACAGGACTTTTTTATGTATGTATCCTTATCTACGTTATCCTCCCCAACCCTTTCGAAAGTAAATATATGGAGGGAAAAGTGAATGATTGTGAATCAGATATAGATTTAATGTATGTTAGGCGTAAGTCCAAAGGAAAAACAAGCCCAAACGCTGCAACATTTACTTGACCAGCAACAAATGATTTAAATTTGATTTTGCGGTTGTCAACGGAGAAAGCTTAGAGTGACATAAACTTCAACGTGTTGAAGGCGGTCATTACAAAGTAGAAGTACCAATTAAGTTCTGCAAGCCTTTCCTTTTCTCACACAACATTATGAACATAAATGGAAATCTTTTACCCATTCATAGGCGGATCCAGCCCCGGGCAAATTTTGGTTTATGTAGGGAATCACTGAAGCATGCCTGGAGCAGCCGAATCCGGGTCCGTTCGCGCCCAATCACGTTCGCCCCCATGCACGTTCGCCCCCCTTTCACCTTCGCACCCTACACGTTCGCACGCAAAGTCCGTTCGTACCCTACACGTTCGCGCCCAATTTTTATTGGTTTTGTGTTTAATAAATTGTAAACGAGTTTTGGTAAGTGCATTGCTATAAATATATATTTTTTCATTGTTTCTAAATAAAGTGAGGTTCTGACAAGGTTTTTTTTTGTGTCATTGTAAATGTATTGCTATAAACATTTTTTTTTTCATTGTTTTTAAATAAAGTGAGATTCTGACGACCAGTATTTTATTTTTGTGTTGAATAATTTTTAATCATGTTTAGGTAAGTGTATTGCTCTCTCTCTATATATATATATATATATATACTAGTATATAAATTTTTTTTTTCATTGTTTCTAAATAAAGTGAGATTCTGACAACGTTTTTTTAGGTGTTGATAAAATCTTAATCATGTTTTGGTTAGTGTATTGCTATAAATATTTCTTTTTTTATTGTTTCAAAAGGAAATGGGATTCTAACAACGTTTATTTTTATGTGTTGAATAATTCGTAATCATGTTTTGCTATAAATATTTATTTTTCATTGTTTATGAATAAAGTGAGATTCTGACACACATGAGATCAAAGGAGCAAAGCTGTTAAAAACAATTATCTTTCATGTTTTTTATTTAAAATCTTCAAAGTTTTACTCATACCAAGCTAAATACATACAGTATCTACATTTAAAGCAAGTTAAAACAACCATGACAACAATCAACAATAACACCATATTAGGCTGTGTATAAATACCAATTAGCAGTAATCATACATAATTAACATTTAATAATTAATCATCAAATCAATTTAAAACAATATTTCATTTAAAAATTCCCGAATTTTTATTTATGAAAATAAATATATTTTGATATAAACATCTACAAAACATCTAAAAATTTATCAGGTTTTTGAATAAAAAAAGGGTGCGAACGTGTAGGGTGCGAACGGACCTAGGGGGCGAACGTGTGGGGTGCGAACGTGTAGGGTGCGAACGTGTATTGGGCGCGAACGAACCCGATACCGGAGCAGCCCCCCTCCCCCTTTTTTCGGTCAGTCAGTGCCCCCCTTTATAAAAAGTTCTGGATCCGCCACTGCCATTGTTACATTACTCCAGTAAATTGACCCTATATAATTTTTTGACGTTCCAAAAAAAGCAGCCCAGACCTATGTTTACCTTGATCAGAATGAGAAAACAAGGGATCATATTTCTCTTGAGGGATTGTCTTACAGACGAATGGGTTATTTTCCTGTGCATGCGGTAGAAAAGAAAAAAAAACTTAGCGTTTTAACTTAAAAGGGGGTTAGGGAATTCCTTGCATTTGAAATAACCTTTTTAAAGAGGGACCGGTCCTCTTATTTTCAGTAAATAAAGTAAATTAATGATGTCCATGAATACAATACCAGATAGAAGTATGGTTCTGTGGGAAAAGATTTTGCAAATAATATAAATATGTTCCCTTTTCACTCTTTTGTACTTTCACTATGATAAGACATTTCAGTATGAAATCTCAGTATGAATTAAGAGGTTGTCAGTTAGATTGCAACCCTACAATTTTACATATATAAACTTAGTATGCATCATGAACATTTAATAGTGATACACTTAGAGACCAATATGCAGTCTTTTAACTTCACACATTTGTGACTAATTACCAAATGGCAATGTTAACCTTCTCTTCAATATGTTAATACATGGTGAGATTCAGCATATCAAAGAACCAGAAGAATTTAATTTTTGATGAAAACCAACTTAGTTTAGTTTTGTTTTCATCACCTAATTCCTAAATACAAATGTACTAGTAGATAAGACAATGACCCCCAAAATCTATCTCAACCTCCATTTTGTGGTATGGAACCTTGTGGTATTATTTCATACAGATCCTTCACTTATACTTTAGTTATTGTCTGGAAACTAAATGTTTTCTGATGATGACATTTGTCGATGATCACCATACCATTATACAGCCACAAAATTTTTTAGCAGTTGTATAAAAAAATGATATATGCAGTTTAAATTTATGTTACTTCTGAGAAGGAAAACAAACCTGCCCCCCCTTTTAATCGATGAATGGTAGGTGTAATAGTGACAGTCCCAATAATTATGAAACCTATTCTCGTT